GTGTGTGTGTGTGTGTGTGTGTGTGTGTGTGTGTGTGTGTGTGTGTGCACAGCTCTGGTGGAACCGAGTAGCCTCATTGGCTGAGAGCCTCTGGCCTTTTGGTTTGTGAAAAATTAAATGCCATGGGTTGTTTTGCTATGATTGAGCAGATAACCACTTCCAGATGTGCTCCATATGGCCTCCCTTATATATAAAGTGACCTGTGCTGTCTGGCCCGGTCAGAGCACTCGGGGGATGGAAGTGATAACTGATTTATTTGCTTTGTCTCAGTAACAAATGAATCCTCATTGTGACAAAAAGGCAGAGCTTCGGTTTGTATTTCAAACCGGCACTGATGCACCGTGAACCTCAGAACAAGGACAAACTTCTCTTTTACGAGGCTATTGTGAATGTTAGAATATGAAATGCTGCCATCTGCTGGTCGTGTAACTGCTCATCTTGTTTCAAACAGTAGACTGAAGAAATGTGTACGCGAAAAAGGGATCACAGTATTACATAAAAATCATGATATTTATAGATATACATTTATAGATATATTTCCTCTTGGTTTTGGTTTCTTCTTCACTTGTCTGAAATGTGTTTCCATAATAGAGTAAAAAAGACAAATAGAAAAACGGTTTAGAAAATAAGGAATTGAGAAATAATACACTCTTCCAACCAACAGGTGTCGCTGCTAATTTCTGTGTTCGCCTTTCCACTCTGAGATGAACCTTCTTGCTCGCCGTCGACAGTTTGAATAAACTTTATTGGCAGCGGGCTAAATTCAGTGATATGTCAAACATGGGGGCACGGGTAGCGCGTATGTTCCGAAATTTCAACCTAGAAAACCGCGTACACCGAGAAATCTCCAAGGAAAAGCCGCGAGCAGCACCCCGATACGAGGCCAACCTCCCGCCCTCCGCCGGCAGCTCTGAGGGTGAGTGTTTGAAACCTCCGCTGACTTGTGTAACTGTCTCCTCCGGGGTACACACTGGTACATGGCATGTTGATTCACCAGCCTCAGACGTAACGCTACCAATTAGGCTTTGCAGTGACCGTTGACGAGCAGCATGCTGTGTGTTTGTTTCAGCGGTGGAGACGGCGGACTCAATCAGCCAGAAGAACGACCCTCTGCTGACCCTCCTGAAGTCCGTGTATGTGGAGTCGAAAGATCCGGCAGAGGTCAGACCGGGACACTGAAAGTGTCATATTTGTAAATGTCTCTAATGGTGGAGAGGTGCTTTAGCCAATTGATTTGATTCATTCGAGATAAATTACACAAGGCTCTCGTGTTATTAGGCTATGGACCATTTCACAGTTGTAAACAAGTGAAGTGGAAAAAGACTCCTGTGTCCCCTGGTCAAAAAATGGCTACACTATTGACAGTTAACTTGTATGCTAAATGCTATATGGTGCAACGGTTTTGTGCTTTTGGTCGTTTGTTGCCCTTGCAGCAAGAAAAACATCAATGACCTCACGTTTGGTAATAGCAGCTGCACTAACAGTTTTGGCCACTTGAGGGCAGCGCTCCACGCCTAGTTTAAAATCGCTCTCAGCTCGACATATTACGGCCTCGTAAAGCTGATACAGCTAGCCTAGCGCGTTAGCAAACGCTCCCAACATGGCTGCGTAAATTTAGTCATCATTTATACAAAAAAAAAGAGCCAAATACCAACTAAAAGCAGGACGAGAGTAAGAGCCAGCTGGTTAGCATGCTAATTTCAGACATAGATGTCTTTGACACTGTAACCTCTTCACATGCATTTTTCTTGAATGTTTAAATGCATTGCATCATTACGTTGTTGTTTTTTCTCAAAGCTTGACACACTTGGTATTTAAAACTGGCCTTATGGTGTTAGTAGACAAAGAACACAAGTCACTAAGGACCATGTCCGGAGTGAATTTATGGATTTCCAGCCAATAGACTCGTTTCCTTCTGCTTAATCTGCGCACAGGACTCAAAGGACGTGACGGCGGGTGACGAGGCGGAGCGGCGGCCGCTGAGGTTCAGTCTACCGGGGGAACCGTACGGCCTGGTGGAGCTCAAAGATGTTCCCAAAGGCAAGCTGACCATCGTCGAGGCCCTGAAGGCCCTGGGCAGCCACCAGCGTCAGCCTGAGACATGGACGCCGGGAAAGATCGCTCAGGAATATTCTCTGGACTTGAAAGACACAAAAGCTCTTCTGGAGTTCTTCGTCCCCTTCCAGGTTCACATCATACCACCCAAGACTGACAGTGCCAAGCAGATAAAGGCTTCGTAGGACTGGGTTGTAGGTGAATGGCAGTCATATTAGACAAAATATGACCCGACTTATTTATGTGCGTCAATACATTGCATTGTGAGAGCGACATGACTGTAACTGATTGAGTTTCTCAAGCCTCAAGTTTGTACCCAATGTAGGGTTTATGTAGATGGCTTCATGGGATGCTGTATGTCTATAAGTTTGAGTTATTGATCTATAGCAAACAAAGAAATGAATAAATAAGTACCAGTATTTTATTTAAAACATTTCGTCTTCGTAGTGCCTTTGATGATTCCTCTATGATAAAATACAATGGTGTTCATACTCAAGATCCCACATTTTGAAAGAGCTAGAGGTCCAAAACCTGGTTTGAAGGAATAGTTCCACATTTTGGGAGGAGAGTGAGAACGAAATCTCATGTCTGTGTGTACGGCACTGGAGCCAGAATGGGGTTAGCCTAGCTTAGCATAAAACTAGAAGAAGAAAAAATGGTTGCATCCCGTAACTTCCTCTAAAACGGCAAATTATCATTTTTACAGTTGTGTTTTTGTCCAGAGGAAACAAATAAGATATCAGGTTAAAATGAGCTTTAGAGGTGTTTGTAGGTGTATTTTTTTTAAACTTTGGACAGAACCAGGCTAGTTGTTTCCCCCTGCGTCCAGTCGTTATGCTATGCAAAGCTAAGCTACCAATGTCCTAACTCCAGCTCTGTACTGTTGCCCTCGTCACTCAGAAAGAAACGCGTACTACCAAACTTTTTAAACTATTGCTCCATGGTGAAGACCACAGACTATATAGCAGCATATCTGCCAAGCCCCAAAACTATTTTACATATCATACAGCTGTTTATTTTAACAAAAGTAGAAGATACTTTGAAGCTGTTGGCATCAGCATGCTTGTTTATCAGTTATTAATTCAACTATGCAGTCTTGTGTTTGTTAGGTTTGTCTAATTTCTGATCCAATCCATGTGTAACTAAACCCCAGAGTTTTGGCTGAAGTTCCCTTTGTGTTTGTGTCGTTTCCCACACAGCCGCCCGACAGTAACGTCTCTTACAGGCTGACACAGACAGCATTGTTACTCCACTGTGGCTTCCAATGGTAGATTTATATTAGATATCCTGGACTGGGTTTTGGATAAAGAAAGAAAATAAGGTCGGTAGCTAACAAAAGACTGATTACTTTTCCACCACGCATTCAATTAAGTGGTAGGCATACAGTGGCCTGTGGGCCAAATCTGGCCTGTTGGCAAACATACTGGCCTCCTTGACACAAGCTGAAATTTAGATCATCGGTTATAGAAATCCAAGATAACAAAAGCCATTAAAGATTTACATATAATCAAGTACAATGCTTCCTTCTGTCACATGTCAAGATAGATAGATAGATAGATAGATAGATATATCTATCTATCTATCTATCTTGTCCCACAGAGACATTTATTGATGTTATTTCAGGTGTTGCATCCCTTGTTTAAAGTGGTTATAATGGGTTCTGTCAATTATTAATACCGTTGACTCTGAAGTCATTTGGAGTCAACCAAGTCCCAATTCTGCACTGTAACCAGTAACCATCAATGTTGTGCTTGAATCATATTAAAATAATGTTCGTAGCCCACAGACGGACATTAGATGGCATTCTGATAACGCTGAGCTTACTTTAGCCATAACAGGCTCCGTTTGTCATCTATGCCCCCCACCACGCACACTCGCACGTGCCCAAAAACAGCAATTCCTCCAGTCGGGCCACGCCCATTTTGATACAATTTGTCGTTTCTATTGGACGACGCTCAAAACGGGGCGTGTGCCACGAACAGTCCGCTCCTGCTTCTGTCGGTGTCAGTTATCGCTGAATACAAAGCAGCGTCAAGCTAACTAGAGACAGCGCGGATGCTGCCCGAAGCGCTGATGTTTAACTTCAAAATAAGAGTCACTTTTTAGCAAGACCTAGCTCGTCCAGAAAAAGGAGCTGCAGCTAGACTATAGATATTAAACAAAACATGGTGGAGACATGTGTGTCTCCGGAAAATAATGTTTGAAAATAATAGCTGTAAGTAACTAATTTAATCCTTTTTTTGATGTACATATTTTAATGCATTTAAACCTAAATCGTATTACGCTTTCACTCTAACAGAAATTGCAAAGCATTCTAGTCTGCACTTGCGCAATAGTCGGCTGACTATTATGCCCTTTCATGCTGACTATATGCAACTGTCACTGCGAGGTGTAACTTTAGTTGCCTAGTATGTGCAGCCATGATTTTAGAAGTGTTTGAGGTCATGGGTATTACTCATTCCCTCAGCTATATATATATAAAAAAAAAAATTTTTTTTTTTTTATTAATGTTGTATAACTTCTGAGAAATATGTCCCTATATGTTGTCTAAAGTGTTCTCTACAATGCCTGGCATTTATTCGTGTGAAGAATATTAAATTAAATTCATTAATTTTTTTTACAAAAAAATGTCCATACAACCCAAAGCAGTTGAAGACATTTCTCTTTTTTTTCTGAAAACGCAGTCTTAACATGCCGTTCTTTGGATTAGAGTCCACTCTGCGTCTACCCCTCCTTATTTTGAAAAGTCCAGACAGGAAGCTGCGTTTGTGTACGCTCGGTGCCTTGCCGCGGATCACGGAAAGCCCGAAAGTGAGCGTAGTTTGTAACAGTGTGGTGACAATTTGGACCGCATACATACAGTACATAGCCTGATGCATTCGTTGCTGGAGGAGGGGCTGCTCACATCTGTATGGAGAAAAAAAGAACCTTAATATTTAAAACCGTGGATAATCAGCGCGGTGTCTCTCGTGCTACTCTGGAAACAAAAGCGAGACTAACCAAATTCGGATTTTACTTTTATCTCCGACTTTAGTTGTGTGCGTGTAGTGGCATCGCCGGCGGTTATTAAAATAACACAGCTACAGGGCCTAAACGTTGCATTTCGGGGGGAAAAGCCATCACCGGCCCACTTGTTCGGTAGAAGAACCGCTTACAACGAGGGAGGAGGAACACATTTTGGGCGGCGAGATGCACCATTTGGAGGACTGAGCCGCAGCACTTCAGCCGCTCCGGAGCTTCAACATGGGGGAATGAAGCAGGTAAATGTCGAACACAACCGTCTGCATGTCAACAACACCGTGTTATTGCTCTTAAATGTCGGGGCCAAATCTCGAAAACGAAGACGTAAACACCCACTGCCCTCGCCTCGTCCACGGAGATGTCGCTAACTCTCCGTGAATCACTGGTATTTTGTCGTCTCAACCATTTTTGCTGCTGGCATAACAACGGCAACAGTCGAAGCTATTCGAATATCGGAATCAAAATATGCTCGTGCGGCGTCCAAAATACACGCGCTAACACACGGAGAGAGCTGCTGAGGTTGGCCTGTAATGGCTCTTACTGGAGGTCGATGAGGTGAAAGCCTGGTCTGAATGAGCTGTAATTGTATTTGGTATGGATTTCATTTTTTCTCCAATATTTGAGTTCATTTTCAGACTCCCCTCACAGATTTAGCAGTCAGGTGTTGCAATGCTCGGATGTGATTTGACCATGTGATTATAATTCAGTCTCTAGGGACACCACCACCATCATGTGTCCAACAACTGGCCACTTTGCAATTAGCAATTAGCATTTCATTAAGAGTCAGAATACAGCCCTGATTTATATGTGGCATGTATAACAACACCTACCAAACTTCATGCACAAAGTGAAGAAAAACTAGGCCTGGTGCCAACACACATGAAAACAAAACATTTCCTTCATGGAGGATGAAATTACTATTAATCAGAGAGACATCTTTTAATTTAAAATGTATTTGGTGATTTCTGAATCTCAAAAGTTACATTAAGTAAAGAAATCAAGTGATACTGATTTTTTATTTTTTTTTTAAATGGTGACGGCAACAATTAAAATATTTCAACGCTTTAAATTCAGTAGTTGATAAACTTGACAAACACAATTGAATTATTATTATTAGAATATTACTTATTTTTACTTTCTTATGGCATTTCTTTGTCTCGATCCGTGCTTGTAATTGTGTAATGGCAGATTTAATCTTCAGTGTATTCAATTTGGCAAATTCATTTCTCTCCACAGACTCTATATTATATAATCTGCTGTAATTATTCATCTCCATTAAAATATGCAGAAATCGCATGTCATTAAGTGAGACAGACGCATCATTATTGCTTAACAACGCCACCTGGAATAAACCAGGTACGCTCTCTGCCAGGCTGTTATTGCTGTAAACCAGGATATCTCCCCACCATGGACTAACAGTGCCGGTTTGCAGCACACATTTCGTCGTCTCATTATACTTCCTAGAGATAAAAGGCTACAAGGTGTGGCTGAAAAGCTCTCAGCATATTCTCCCTGCGAATCGCCATCCCATAATTGCGTTGCCACGTTCAGTATTTGAACAATTCACAGAGTGTTTTGTTTTTTTTGAACGTCAAGTACCCGAACATTCATTTTTCTACTGCAGGTTTACTTGATTGCTTGGAGGCTGAAGTGGCTATTTTTGAACATGTAAGGGTCACCCTACCCTGAAAGGAAAGAGACGTGGCGTTCACCGAAGTCTCGCTGTCCACGAGGACGGTCCTTTTAGAAAATGTGCTGTGTACGGATGCGAGGTGAATGCAGCAGGAAGTAGGCCAGCATTAAACCAGTTGCCCTCATTCACCAGGTCTTCATTGTGACGAAGCAGCTGCGGATAACACGCTTGTCATCATCATATGATATGAATAAAGCAAAGTCTTCAACAGCCCGTTTGTCTCCTCACTGCAGCCCGTTTGTCTCCTCACTGCA